CTGTCGGAAATGCAATAGAATGCAATCGTCGGATCCATCAAAAAATTCATCTCCCGGACTCCTATAGGATTTCTTCACCTGGGTTTTTTTCCCTTATAGAAGTAGAAAAATTTCTGATGATAGCTAACGTGTTCGGCTATAGTATACAGGTATATTGATGATTTAGATTATCTGCTTCTGTGATTCATTCTTCCTTAGCTTAGAAAAAAACGCTTCGGCTTTTAAAGGTTAAATGTAATGTGACAAGGATCGAGCCTTGTATCTAACTTATGAAAAGATAGAGAATATCCTTGCCTCGATTACTTTCTCTTTGTAATATGTAACCTTCTTTCTTCTATCAATACACTTTTTTTGTATGCTTTTATAAAATATTGTGTTCTATAAGTTATTTTCATAATTGAAAAGATGAAATAGCATTGCTAGATACTAATACATAGAATGGTGATTCCAATCGAGTGGATACATATGAACTTGATAAGATATTAAGATAATTTTTGCATGAGATTTAGGTCCCATAATTTTGTATTTCAAGAGCTTAAATCAGGAGTTAAGTTTCATTATAATATAACTATTATAGAGACATCATCAAGATTGTTTTAAAGAGTGCTAGCCAATATTGTAAACAGATGAATTAAAAAATAATTTTAGAGAGAAAATCTGAACCGATATTTAGTAATCTGCACCCGAAGAATGATTTGATATCAAATATATCAATTTACTTTCCCATGGTGATAGCAAAAACATTCAAGAATAGTTTCTATGAATTTTATTTTGAAAATAAATATATGAACAAAAATATTTTCTTGATTTACAATTGAGAATAGACAAAAAAGAAACTAGTAAAATTATTTTATAAACATAGTTCAAAATCATTTCTTGGTTTAATTACTTCTTTTAATCTGTCTTTACTTAATTCCGATAGATTACAATCAAATAAAATCAGTTTATTTAATGTTCGATTATATACAAGCATATCAGCTAATGCATCAATACAATTATCACCAATCGATTGATTTCCCCATAAATATAATTCTTTTAAAGTTTTATTATGATTCATAAGTGCATTTGCTAATAAAATAACACCTTCATCACTTATTTTATTATTAGATAATCCTAAATGAGTTAATATTGTATTTGTTTTCAGCATTTCAGATAAATATTCAACACCTTTATCTGTTATTTGATTTTGACCAATAAAAAGTATTTTAAGTTTGAAATTATTCAATAAAAGCATTTCTGTAAGATAATATACACCTTGATCAGATATTTGATTAGCAAATAAATTTAATCGTTCTAAACTTGTATTATTTTGTAATGCACCAACTAAAATTTTTATACCTTCACATGTAATATTATTATATCCTAATCGAAGTTCATTACATTTTTTCTTAATTATTGCTGCATTAATAACAGTTGAAATATCAGAATCAGTCAAATGTTGATGTAATAAATTTACATTTAAAGAATCACATTTATCTATTAATTGTTCTATTAATTGTTTATTATGAGATGCATTAGATATTTCCTGTAAATAAAACTTTTATTTTTAATTAGATTAAATTTTACATACCTTATTTCTATCCTTTGTATATGCTTCATCATCAAGATCTACGAAATTTGTAGGTTGTTCAAATTTAATTTCGTACGACGCGGACATATTATACACGAAAGAAAAGAGAGTATGAATCATTCATTTTTTCTACTTCTATGTCTAGTTATATATATATATGAGCGTGTAGGCATGTTGCTCGTATATAAGTATAAAATTACCTTGTGTTGTTTTTCTTTTTATTCTTTTCATATAAAATATTGATGTATTCTTTCTTATTCAGCAATTATATTTAATAGAAAGAAGAAAAAAAAAATATTATATTATATTACGATAAAATACAAGTATTTTCATTTGTATGTGTATAGAGTTTAAAATTATTTTTTTCAGTAATTATTTGTTGAAGACGTTGATTATTTATATTTGATATATTACAACATTGAATATCAAATTCTTTTAATGTTTCATTATGTTTAAGCATTATAATTAATGAATCAACACTTAAATCTGTTATCAAACTATTTGATGAAAGTGATAAGACTTCAAGTGAAATATTTTGTAAAGCTAAAACATTTGATAATAAATTTACACCATGATTAGTTATAGAATTACGATTTAACATAAGATGTGTTAATGATTGATTCGTTTTAAGCATATCAGTTAGATATTGTACACCTTGATCAGATATATTATTTGAACCTAAATGAAGTTTTTTAAGTATTGTTTTATTTGTTAAAAGTACATCCATAAGAATTTTAACACCATTATCAGATAAATAATTATCAGATAGATCTAATTCAACTAATGTTATATTATTATATAATGTATCAGATAATATTGAAATACTTTGACTGGATATTTTATTTCCTGTTAAATAAAGTCCTTTACATTTTTTATCAATTATTGCACGTTGTATAATAATTGGCATATCTTGATCAATTAATTCACGTACAGATAAATCAATAAATGAATTTGGTTTACAAAGACTTAATAAATTTTCTAAATGAGTATTATGATAGATTGAAGTTGATGGAGATCCCTAAAAATATAATTTTTATATCTATCGAATAGTATATCTTAATTCATACCGTTAATTTTAATACAATTGAACAGAATGATGTATCACGAATTGATATATTTAATGAAGGTCTTCGTTGACTAAATGATAAACTAATTGATGATGTATGATCAGTATTTGATTGTAAAATAGATAATGAATCAATTTCTTTTATTTGAATAATATGAAGACCATTCGAGGAATTAAGAGATGATACAACTTTATAACGTTGTGCTGATAATAAAAGAATTTGATCATTTATTTTATAAAATGAATGATTACGAATATCTTTAGCTGATTTACATTCAATTTTAAATCGTGTTCTTTGTTCTTGTCTATTTAAATCTTGTTCATTTTCAAATATATTTAACGATCGAGTACATAATGAAAATCCCCACCAAATAAATGTCTTTCCTTGTGGATATTCTAAACTTAAATCCATTTGAATACCACGATAAACATAACAATGTATTGATGGAAGTTTTGATAATGATTTCATAAATAATTTTAAATAGAGATACCATGGTTTTAATTTTTCACAATTTTCATCACGTAAAGTACGATTTAAAATAACATTTAATGAATATTCTTTTGGTTGCCAATTAATTGTATATAACATAATTGATGCTGATTCATTGATTGTTAAATCATCTTTTATTTCTTGACAATTTTCTTTTATAATACATAACATTTGTTTTATATCAGGTACAATAGATAATAATGGTTCAATAGCTTCATCAAGTGTTACTAATGGTACTTGTTCATATCCTTGAATAGGCGGAAATATTTCTAATGATTCTTCAGCTAAATCAGTAAAATGTATAAAATTTTTTAATTCAACATCATTTGTATGTGTTGTAGTCATTTTGATGAATATTTGCAAATAAGAAATGTTTTACATAGAAATATCTAAATTCTTCGTTCTTATCTAACAAACATAGGTATTATATTTATATATAGATGTTATATTGTCTTTATCAAACAACTAATCGAGACATTTCTTTTTTTTTTGTAACGACAATGTTTCTCATCTTCAAAATGAAAGGTAAATAATAAAATAATCTAATGTAACAAGGTTTCAAAATGAAGATATTAATCATATAGATTTTTTATTAGTGGCGTAACTAGAAAAAAGTTGTCAGGAGGGCTCTCAGCACTTATTTTTTGGCGTCTGATTAGTGCCTATTTCTCATGTTGATCCTTTTTAGCAATATAACATTCTTTTGAAAGTATTGATTCGGAATATTCTTTTCCATATATTTATGAAGAATGATTATATTTTTTAAGTTATATGTTACATTGAAAAGGGGGTGATCGAAAAATCATTACGCGAGAAGTGTCATAATACGAAAGTCCTTGCCACCTAGTTTATAAATCCGATATTTATTCATCTATATCTGATCCTTGTTTTTCGGTGTTTCCTGTAGGGAGGTACCTCGATCTCAGTACTAGACAAGCGGATGTCAGATCCGGCTGACAAGGACTTTCGTAGTATGGCACTTCTAGCGTGAGTAAAAATTCATGATTTTCAACCACTCCCTTTTTTATTTTGATATAATCAGAGGAAGAGTATAGATTATTCTATTAAGTTAAATAGTTATTAATGCGATGCGAAGCCGAAGCAATTATGTAGTCCTCGGCGAGTTTTCTTTTTTTTCTTTCTTCTTGACTCGACGTACATATTCAAAATGGTCATTTTTGGACATGATGATCTCAACAATGGAACATCGAAAAATACTGGTTTAAATGCGAGATTAATCTATCAAGATCGAAGTTAAATCATACGTTTTCTGATTTCGAACAGGACGTTCGGTTCGTTTACAGGAAGCGTAACAAAAACACGATTTTGATTTTTTCAAATTTCGAGATAATTAAAACGAAAAGCAAAAATAAAAGTGAGGCTCCACTTTTCTCTAACAACTGTTCTACAGCTGATAATAGATAATAAATCATCTAAATAATGTTGTGAAAATCTTAAATTGTTATTTCGAAATCCTGCTTCGCATCGCATTTCGTAGTCGAATGAAACTCGAATATCATCCAGTTCGCTGTACATTTTATTCAACAAATCGCGCTCTGACATGATATGAAAATTAATGAATTTTAATATTTTTCCAATTCTATGATTAAATTAAAAAGAAGAGAAAATGTAAGCTATATGAATACAACCCAATGTTTTTCTTCTAGGGACATTGCCATACCACACCCACACTGTATCAAAAAAATAACGTCATCAAGGTGTAGTAGACTGTATACTCTAGATACAATAGATTTGAATATGATACGTTAATCACTCAAGTATAACGACAAGCAAATATAATTTTTTTTATTTTATTAAAGAAAAAAAATTTTTTTTCTAGTTAATAAAAAATCCTAAGTTAATAAAAAAATTGTTTATTCATCTTTGGCAGTTTTAATATAACCATTTTTTGTTTTTATTATGTTTAGTTTTGGTTCACGACGTTTTTGATTTCGTTTTAAAATATATTCTTGAAAAAAATAATTGAGAAAAAGAAATAATAATGATATCGAATGTGCAAGAAAAATTAAAACAAATAAAACAGGAAAATCATAACAGGTTTTATCATTTTTAAAAAGCATTGCATGAAAACGAAACGTACATCCAACAGCTGCAGCTATAAATTGACTTATCTAATTTGAAAAAAAATAAAATAAGAATGTATATCTTTTCTTTCCATTAGTTATGTTTACCTGCATGATTGTAACAAATAATTTAACACGTGCTAGTTGTTTTCGTTGAATATGCATAGCAGCTAAACCATAATATGAATACATAACAATATGAACGCATGCATTTACAATCACTGGAAATGCAACTTCACCACCTGGTGTATAACGTCTATAATAATAGTTAGATAAATAAAGAAGTATTTTTTATTTAAATAATACTAACGTAGCAAGATACCATAATGGAAACATCGTTGCATGATGATAAACATGAAGTATACTAATATGAGTAAATTTTTTCGTTAATATAAAAAACCATGTGTCCCAAAATTCAAATGCTTTCGAAATAAAATACCACCAAACAGCTTCCGATAGATAAATATCATCTTTACCATGTAGAACACGTTGACAATAGATACGATATGGTCTTGCTGTTATTGTTCGTAAAGAAAGGAAAACGACATATGCATTAACTAGAACAGCTGCAAAATTATATAAAACAATAGGTAAACGAAGATCAAATGGTTCTCGACGTTTTGACATCCATCGTTTGCCATAAGGTACAGAAAGAATATATCCAGCAGTAATGATAAGTACTGGCCATGGAGAACCACAAAGGAACCATGAATACGTTACTGGATCGGGTCCCTTTGGTGATAGCTGTTTGAGCATGATAATAAATGTACGCTTGTGAAAATGAATATATGTGTAGGCAAGGTAAAAGAATGTGTAAGATGCGCTCCATTAAACACACATTTTATATAATCGATGTAAAAGAGAAAAAAAAACGATACAAAAGAGTGTCGTTTACGACTTTTTGCTTGACAATATAATAAGCATGAACCACATGTATAAAATATAAAAATCATTGTGTTTTGAAATTTTTGATTTAAATAAAA